AAAACTATCGTTCATCAAGAAAAAACATATTTAAAAAAAAAAAAAATTGTTACATCTCTTCACTTTTTTTATTAAAATTTATTAAACCACAGAGCACATATATAAATAAATTTCTTTTAAAAAAATTATAATGAACCATACGATGACCAATGTGTTTGTCTGAAATTTACAAAAAAAGCACGCATGGCGAATGTAGAAACTGGCAAAAATAATGTGAATCGTAAATTCTCGCACACATTACGGTTCAAATCACCTAAATAGGTCGGGTTACTCGGTCAGGGTAAATCTGATCAGATTAACCCATACACTTATCTGTTCTTAATGACAAATGCCGATAATCCGATAGATTCTGCATTCACATCAAGTTGTAGGCCATTCTGAAAATCCCAGAGTTGACATGTATATCAGAGAAAATGTCAAAATATATCTTGCCCGTGGCAAGGAATCAAACGAACTGTTCATGTATGTATTGAATAAAAAATAAAAGTGGTAAATTCTGGTCGAAAAGGATGGAAGTTTCAGCTATCATAATAAACCTCAGACGCGAATAGCCGCCAAGATCTCGTTGCGAACGAGAGAATCATGAGATTTGAATTTGCCGCCAACACGTTCACTCTTCCGTATACCATGTTACGTAGCTCAGTAGAACAATGTACGCGATGTCGTGGGAAAATGAAACACTTATTTGAGAAGGAAAAACAGATCTCGTAGCTCTCTCCCCCTTAACGAGATCTCGGTCTAAGGTCTATTGCTACATTTGTCCAAGTAACAAATGACTCTGACAATCTGCCAATCTAATCTTTCAAGACGAATTTAAAACAAAAAAAACGTCCGATTAACATAAAAGAAAGACGCAACGATATTTCGCTGGTCTTGTATAATTAAAACAAAAAATAAAGTTTAGAATTGGAAACGGTTGCTAGGACTCGACAGTGTGTAAATCGTGGAACAGCTGCTCCACGAAAAGAGATTGGTTCCTCCTTGATAACAGGTGAAAGCATCTGTGGGGAAAAAACTGTCAACTATTATAAGTGGAATTACTCGATCAATGACGATTATTCCACGACGATAAACTTGTCCCAGCTGTATTTATGTACAAAGGTGCAACTCAAAAACAACACAGCATCAGATGGCATGACTTATCACTCAAGATGACTATAACAAGTCGCATAAACTTGTGCTGAGATTCATTTTTACGATTAAAACTAGCAGTGCGCAGTTTCAAAATATGGTTGTTTAGGTATTGTAACTAGAATATGGTAGTTTGAACTCGTAATTGGCAATTATTCAATAAGAATCACAGAATCGAGGATAATCTTAAAAACATAATTTATAATCGTGGTATGTTCACTAATTTGTTAAGGAGACGCGCGCACGCGTGTCTTTGTGTTGTACCCGGATGTATATGTTGATGATCCACTGATTCACCTCGCATGTTAAACAAAACAGAAAATAGAAACGTAAATGTAATTTTGGTAAATAATATTAGTTCAAGTGAAAAACAAAGTATCATCATAAAATGTAACATGATAAAACCTTTAAAATAAATAAACCCGATGTTCGTAATGTTGAATGGAAATATTGAGCTATATATACACATATTAAAAAAAAGAACCCTTTTTATGACGTCATGTCAAGTTTGTCAAATTGTGCGTTGATAATAGCACGTTTACTGTAATGGAACAAATTTGACAATTTCAAAATTTGCTCCAAAATCGGCTCGCTGTATTGTTTTTTTTTAAATCAATATTTGTTCACGTGAAATTAGAATGCGCGCTGCGTGGCGACTGTGGCGCGTTACGTATTGTAACGTCTTTAAATCCAAACTCATTTGTTAAATAGGTTGAATGCCATATTATGATATGGTGATATATCACATTATTATACATCTGTCACCGTAACGTCATAAGTTACAACGTGCCGCAACTGTGTGGTATTTTACGGGCTATTTTCATCCTACCATATCAGGAAATGCGAATTCCTAATATGGAATGATTACGCGCGTAAGCGTCCTCTAATAATAAAACCAACATGGTTGCCTCCAGAGTTTGACCGGAATCAACAGAAAGAATTTGTTGATTCTGTTCTAAACATTTTGGATTTCGACATTCCTATAGTGTATCCTTGGAAGGAAAAGATGTATAATAATAAGGTTATTACGAGAATACCTCAAAGTATGCACTCAGACAGTACGCCGCGCGTCGGTCGATACTCCAGCTGTACTGTCTTCGTGCATACATATCATGGCTCAACGCTGAAACCATTTGACATTGCGTTTTCCACAGATAAATAAGAGATTTTCAAAATCATGTTATGTCGTTCCATAAAATTTAGCTAAAATGATCGAACTAAAACACTTGCAAGTTGAATGCATTAGCGTGCACAACGTGAAATGGCGTGTATATAGATATGTAACGTAGGACGTAGCCATTTTGGTAAATTTCTGTAGAAATTGGAGTTGCATGAAATCAATCAACAAACTTTACGTGACATACTGTGCTGTGGCTTTAGTGAAAGTAACCCATATTGTTTTTTTAAAATTCTTGGTAAAAATATTTCATTTATTTAAGTAGTTTAGTTTGGTTCGAATCCCTCTCAAGCTCTCAAAAAACGGCCCGACCCTCATGACACTGAATACAGTCAGTATACTAATTCCCCAAAAGCAATGCATTGATAAATGTCAAGCGTGGAAAATGTGCAAATGAACTACTTATTATGCAAACTTTGGTGACAAAATTGAAGTGTTTTTCATTGTATCCAAGATTAAAGGATCGTCGCGCCGAGTCCTGTTCGATATGGGACTCATAGCAACGTATACAACGCGTGTAAAATACACTGTTTGTTTACATGAAATTCGAACACGCACTGCGCGTCGACCGCCACCCTTTAAAGAACAGGCTGAATTAGGTTAATAGTATGCAAATAAGCTACTCAATATGCATGGCTCTGTGGGATTGCGGCCAACTCACAAATGAGTGACATTTGGTTTTTACATTTGATACCAGGTCGTGTCATTATAGATTTTGGAGTGGGCGATTAAAATAGATAAAACAGATAGCTGAATAAAGAAGTAATTAAAAAATAAAAGTAATATAGTCGTATATAGTTTCTTTTCAAATTTTGATATGATGAAACCGGCGCGTACTGGCAGACACCAACCCGAAAAAATAAATAGAATAGAAATTTTGAAAAAAATATAATTAAATAAATAAAAAAAAAAACATAAAAGAAAACTCATTCTGAGTTTAATTGACAACATTGTGTGCATTCACGATAACTTAATGTTCGATCAAACTTTAGAAGAACATTTACCAGTGATGTTATGTTATATTTACACAATTATAGCATTTAAAATGTTTTTGTTGTAAACTTGAATGAGGAGAAAACAAAGCTTCTAAATACAGCATGTTTGAGTCTTAATACATGTTCAAGGCATCGAGTTCACGGGCCAAACTGATCCGTAATATCATCACTGAAAAATCGTTAAGACTTAAGAGACGTGTCACTCGCGTGCTCGGCAGATGTTTTCTGGATGTCTGTCATCGCCACTGCAGTTGCTGCTGGAATATTGACCGAAGCGTGCTAGTTTTTGTGATTACAACCCTTCACGTAAAGACTCCAGATTTCGCTTGACGAAGACTACCCCGTGTCGATTTCCACGGTAACGTTCAATTCACATATTCCTCGTGTGTTGTCGGTGTCACTGTTGTGGAGTAAAGGTAGTGAAAATCAACGGCGCAGATAAGATAATTCCACTGGTGCCACACAGCACAGAGATCAGAAAAATCCATAAAAAGATTCTGTCTATTACCATGGCAACGTACTTCCAATCTTCACTCACCTGTTAATTGAAACAGAACAAAGCTTTGTATCGATGTGAGACATAGAAGAGAAAAAATTTTCTCTGCTTATCTTTCGATTTTTTTTTTTAATTATTGATAAATCAAATATAATTCAACCATCAGATGGCACTGAGTCTGATTATATTGAAAGCTGACACGTATCAGACAAAACACCGGGGACTCTAGCAGTCAATTAGGCGAACCCGGACGCGGCATCAAGCGACACACCTCCTTTTGTTAGGAGCCTTTTATGAGAAATACCACGCCATTCTGAGCCGTTCTCTAGGGGTGCTAGATTGATTACTTTGACAGAAACAACTGACTCAGATATGACATTACTATTGCAACTGATACAATAGTGTTTCTATGGTAACCAATGTGCTTGTGACACCAACTATTATTTTTCATTGAATCGGTAACCTACAAATGAGGTACAAGCTGAGGATAAACTTGGCCAAACGAATTTATACTACACCCGTGACCTTGCCAAAAAAAGTCAATTTTTTTTTGTCAAGAAAAGTACGTATGATGTATGACCGCCTAACACAATAGTTGAATATTTTTTTCCAAACCATGTGACCACTAATCAATTCATCGAATACGTACTGATATAAAAGATGATTGTTTAAATCTGAATGGAGACTATATTTCATTCATAACAGGCCCTGCAGCCACCGCATGTTTAAGATCTCACAGCGACAGTTTTACTGGACACAAAATGGACGTGCTAAACTGTTATTACAACAACGGACATCATAGCGTTTATATGATTGGCGTGCAGCCAATGACCCCCCCCCCCCCCCGACTGGAACCGTGACGCGCAGTGATGAAATAACGAAAAGTATAGGCGTGCATGATTCTAACGCATGTTGCCTCACTGTATGCAAGAGCGCATAAAACACCTTGATAAGAGCTGGAAGACTACTGTGTTACTTTGTCCCTGCTCGTGATGGATTTACCTCTCGCCAAGCGCCAAAAATATACACACTATCGTGTCCATAGTTGTATAAACCATTGATACATTCCATAAATTCATAGTTCTGGGACGATGGGTTAAATCAATCAAATACAACTGTAAAATCAAAAATTAAAGAGAGATGAAACATAACCAGTGGGAAGTAATTAGAGCGCCATAATGGACGTCTACTAATAACACGTTTATGGTTACCATTTTCTTCTCCCACTGGTTTCACTCATTCAATCAATTACTTACGGTTTCAAAATTGTCATCATTTCTCAAATGGTCGGCGATAAATTTGGCGCCCTCAGCGGCTTTGATCAATTCTAGTTGGACACGATCCTTCTGGAGACGATGTGACGAACCGGACGGATTATCGCGACTACGGTGGTGAAGCACGTCGTCTGACATAGCGTTCATGGAATACCCACCAGAGTTGTGATTGTCGAAATACTCGCTACTTCGATGTGTATTATTGACACTATAATTGCTCGTCATTTCACACATTTCCTCGCTGTCTTTTATGTGAGATAGTTCCTCGTCCACCAGCGGTTCCGGCCGCTTCATGTAGAGCAGAGTGGGGAGTATTTCTAAAAACATTCGTTTGACCCAATCTGGCATGGTGTGCGTACTGGGGGTGCGGTAATGAATGTTCAGAACAACAACCGTGATCACGATGGAGGTCGTCACTAAGACCATGGTGAAAAGAAGATACCGTCCAATCAGAGGGATGAGCAGTGACGTCGGTGGAATGATTTCCGCAATCAGCAGGAGAAACACGGTGAGCGCCAGCAAGACGGAGATACATAGGGTAATCTTCTCACCGCAGGCTGACGGCAAATAAAACACCAAAACTGTTAAAAACGATATTAAAACGCACGGAATTATCAAATTAACAGTGTAAAACAATGGTTTCCTTCTAATCACAAAATTGAACGTAATATCGGTGAATATCTCGTAACAGCACGGGTATTTGATGGTATGTTTGGTGCCTGGCGAGGCTATAATATCCCACTCTCCGCTCTCCCAGTAATCCTCCAAGTCCACGTCCTCGTCCATCGCTACGAGATCGATGAGGAACCCGTCGTAAGTCCAAGATCCGAATTTCATAACGCACTGCTGTTCATCAAATGGAAAGTGACGAACGTTTATTAGACACGAACTTTTGTAAATAGCTGGTGGTACCCAATACACTGTGCCATCAGGGTACACCAACGCTTTTGTCATCAGGGTCACTTCGTAGTTACCATCAGCGCTGGGAAAAAGAAAAACACGTGAATGACGAGTTACAATGTGAATTGCATCGATCGTTGACTCTTTGTCATGCAACACAATATGTGCTGCGTTTTTTGAAATATTTAATGTTCCTTTTTTCTGAATCTATATGAAACTGAATCAAAACGAATGTTACAATACAATGTAAACGTAAGAGAAGGGATAGAATGCTAATATGTGCATATACACACTAAACGGTGTATGGAAACTTAAAAATAATTATTTTTGGAAAAAAATTGTATTCTAGCTATACGCATGTACGACCATAACCTTGACCTTGACATTCAAAAAATTTATAACATTGTGTTTGAGCAGGATTTGTCCCATGAACGCACCAGCTTCCCGTCTGGGGTGGTCCTGGGTAGATCAATCAGTTGTAAATGTTTTGAGCAAGTAAATCAGCCTTCTGGCAAGAAATCTTGTTAATATGGCAATGTTGTTTCCTGTATTTAATCCACATGTAAACGACTGTCGCCATTACGGTGTATACAAAGGAGGAACGCAGGTTCCAGTGCTTACGCTTCTTAAATACGATAAAGACATTACATTTGAAATGTGTGCTTTGTACATTAGATCGGGTACCTCCAAGTAGCCAACGTAGCCAATGGAATACAAATGGGCGAAAAAGTAACCTAAAGAGTCGTGGTCGTCACGCAGCGCGTGTTTGAATTTCCCTAGACAAACAATGCATTTTACACGCGTTGTGTGCGCAGCAGGACGCGGTGCGACGACCAGGGCGCTTTAAATATTAATTTGTCTCAACATTACAAGAATTAATCTCTCGCGTTTCTCTCGATCTTAGCGAGACTCTGACGGCCATTTGTGTCCATATTATATTAATCTAACTCGATAATAGGCGGTAAATCTGAATGAATGTGTACGGCTACACGGGTGTACAGCTCTGACAAATAAAAATCAACCCCTCACTAAACATTTGAATATATAATGAAAGAATCGCCCAGTAGAATGTTAAAAGTTAGTTCTGTTTATAATTAAATTAGCCAATGCTAAGTTTGTTGATATTTTTATTGAACGTATTATTAAGATATAATTAAAAAATAACCAAGAGGTGGTCAAGCTAATACTATACGATAGCATTCTTATTATTGGCGCTCTGCGAATGAGAAATCCCTCACTAGCATGGACGAGCCAGTGTCAGATCACCATAGCGTGTCATTGTTTACAAACAAGCGTCAACCCACGAGCCATTGTGTTTTTAGCGTGTGTTGTTATCAAGGCTTGGGACTCAATTCCCGCGCGTGCGCTTTAAGAGAACACAGTCAGCGCCCTGTAAGCACGCACACATCCATCAAAGAGATTTTACAGGACGTGTACACGTCTATACTGTCCGTATCTGTTGTTACTATCACTGCGCGCTTGTTGCACGCCAATAACATACATGCTATTATATCCCTTGCTGTATAATCCCGATTATAAGTGTTGGAGGTCGATAATTGGAATTTTAATTCCATGGTCACGTTTACCTCGTTTCGATGGTGCTGCTTTGAGTGTAAGAAAAGAAACGACACAGAAACGATAATTCCACTGGTGTCATACAGTGAAGCAACCATATCAATCCATTCAAAGATCTTGTCTATATGTCATTGACAACGCACTTCTAGCTTCAATAGCGTCCGAAATGGTGTATGACTGTCTAGCGCCCCGACGCGTCGACCCAAATCCACTGGAACTGTTAGCTGAACTCTTGAAATATGTGCGGTATGTGGAAACGAGAGCACGGAGAATTCAGAATATTTAAACAACCCAGTTAGTCCTCTGTATTATTTACGTGTTTATGACACTTGATACTAACTGAACATCATATTCCGTCAGATTGGACAGACATCATCCGATCACGATGACAGTGATTCTAGAAGCTCTCAAAAAGAAATCCACACCGTCAGATACTTACTTATTGTAAAGGACTATATCCGGTAACCAGAGCATTTGTGAAGGAACACGAAGAATATCGATCCCATCGAATTCTGCGGGGTTCCAGCGTAGTCGGTAATCAACCCATTCCTTGCAAACAAAGAATAATTAAAGCACAGCTTAAAACACCGCCCCATGGACACTTTTTGAACAACAGAATATAAGGCATTGATCGTTAGAAACACGGGAGTAAATGAGGCGGGATTTGAAAAGAAAACACGCATTTGACAGAGCAAGGCAAACAGACAATCACAACTATATGTAGTATTGTTGTTTCTTACACACAATGGCAAGCCATCACATACATCACATACTAGGAACGCTTACACATTTAAAATATGCAATTACTATTCCAACCCTGGAATGTTAAAGACCTTAAACAAAAGGGACGCCCTTCCTATGTTTACCATGAGAGTAACAGTAACTAAATAAACGAGATTGACGAGTACGGCTAAGTTGCTCAAAGACTGTATTTTCAGAGCATGCGCAGTCAGTGATACATGTAACACTTGGCATGCGGGATATTCACAATGGATGTACATATGGTGACGTTTTTGATAGCGTGTTGGAATCCAGGATAGTCAAACAGTGACAGGGACGCCTACAGTGAAAATATGTCAGTAGGTCACTTGATATACGAACTCTTCTACTATATTGGTAACTGTTATATCATTTTAACCATCTGGGGAGCGTACACGAAAGTAATTTATACAAAACTGTCCATCAGAAGTACTGTGATAAGTATGGTTACGGACAGCACTCATGTGTCTGAAGTTACCTCAAGACTAAATTCCCATCTTTTTTAGACATTCAAATTATAGACTGACGGTGTTTTTGTTACAAATATTGTATGAGATAGCGATTTTGAAGCTTCGTCAATATTTTCAATTTTTCGGAAATTCGCAGGCCTAATTTTTGATAGCAAGTTCTAGACCCGGAAAAATTTGACAATTGTAGCACCACTGTTCACCCCCTTAATCAAATGACCGTCAGCCTCCATGTATGTGTTTTGTCTCCTACCATTTCACTCTTAAAACCAGTTGGCTTAACAGCTGATTTCGTTACAGTCACCACTGACTTGAGGGGAAAATGTAAACAAACACATGCTTTAACCGCTTTCTTGAATGTTATTTAAAGACACGTCTGTTTATAAGTTGGAAAATGCAGTTCTGAATGTCTACATATCAAACAGCGTCGACCGAAAAAGTTATCCGTCAACAAACTACTGTTCAGAGCTCTCAATTCCAAGTATAAACACAATAAGCCGTCTGGAAAATAGCTCACATGGAAATGCTTCGCATTCCCGAAAGGAGATGACGTCGCATAACCTGAATCAGATTCATTCACAAGGGGAAATATTTTGGGAACCTTGATTGAACTCAGCAGGTGCTGCCATGTTTGCTGTACATATGTCATATATATGACACATCAACCCGGAGTAGTTCCTAAATTGCATCGTATGTAACATAAACTAAATAAAGAAGCTAGCATATATTTTCCAACAAACAAGTTTCCCAAAAATAAAACATTTGCAATAGTTGCTAATGGTAAGAGTGCAATTCTACATAATAACCGACCTGTTTTAGCCAGACGTTCGTTGTCATAATTTGATTTCTTTCGTCCTGTATGATGAAAAAGAAAATTAATTATTATCTTGTTTAGTATATTTGTTCCCAATAATAATATTTATAGTATTTCCATATTGTTTTTAACCCCCCCCCCCGCCCCATATCTCGCGTCATCATCATTCATCATTTCCGAATTCGGCGAGGCATGGTGTTTTGGTCAATTAGTCCCGCGTTGAATCATTTCTCACAAACGTAATTCGAGCCAACAAAACAAATTGATTATAGAAGATATGTAAGAAATTTATGCGTTCCAACAGAGATCAACACTGCATGCTGCCATAAGAACAAAGCGTGGTATCTGAAAAAATATCACGTGACGGACGATGTACAGTAAAAAAGCTGCATGACATACCGTCTGCTATGCACACACAATTGCTCCAGAGATCATTCTAACTTAATAAAATTCGAGCTCAACTGACATTATGAAATGAACATACGCGAATTAACTGTGTAATAAAAACGCAATCATTACCATACTTATCCCGAACCAATCGTGACGTCATATAACAATACTAAATATTAACTTCTGACTCTTATCATAATTGCACATTCGTTCTAAATCGGCTAAATGGGTCACTATAGCAACGGAAATGTGTACTAACTGATGACTGCTGGAAATTGTACTACCAGTAACTTTTTTTTTAAATCCTAACGTTCAATATACTTGAATTCATTGTTACTATAGTATGAGTTGATAGTACTATGTGGATTATTATTACGGATATATCGCTAGTATGTACGGAAGCAGTACGGCAAGGGTAGCGCAAGTCGATGCGAGCGCGTACTGTCTGAATTCATCATACTTGCTAATATACGCGTGATAACAGCATACATCCCAACCCATTGATATATGAAGTCGATAACTGGTCAAGATGGTGAAAATATTGGGCACTTCAATTTTCTCGCTACGAACTTTTTAAACATTTTTAAAATATTGGTGATACTAAATTTGCATTTGCATACGTTGACATGTGACGTGCATTGACGTGCAGCGATCCGCGATGAAAGATGTGCATAGCCAGATTTCACAATAGGTCTAAATGAAATTGGGGAATGTTCGAATGATACAGATAGGATAATTGGTGAGCTATTTGTATTCGACGAGATCTCGCGTGAATTAATAACTTTTAACGTTACTTACCACGTTGATAAGCTGCGAGATGGACAAACCGAACGCCACCGTGAGGATTTCTGTATTGTTGACAACTGGTCTAATAAGTTTATTGTAACTAGCAAACAGCCTGCCGAACAAACGTTCTTCTGAATCAGCCGCTGTGTACCCTGAAAGAGCCATAGTAACCAATAAAATTAACACTCTGTTTATACAAATGTGCGTTGCCATGGCATATTCTGCATGTATATTATGATGGCCAAGTTGACTAAATTGCCACCAGAGCGAGCTTCATACAGGTTTTGATACCATGTGTGCGATGACTTAGCGTATGATTTACTAATAGTCGACACAGTGATGTAGACGGGATATCAACATAAACATCCTAAACATTACTCTGCCCACGCTGTCTACACAATACATGATAAGAAAACACAATGGATTAGCGATTCAACAAATTTCAGACGAAATGAAAACACATAGATCAAATCAATGTTGATTTGGTCAGTCAATGATGCTTTCCCAACAGTACAAATTGTCCAACTGACTCAGATGCGGCGGTGATGAGGGGCTTGCATAGCCACAAATGAACACAAACCCCAGGCCCGTAGCCAGCACTTTTGAATAGGGGGTTCGAAAACAACAATTATATATTTGATGTGAAATGTGTGAATTTTATAATATTCAAAAAGTGTATTTGAGCTCTTTTACAGACATTTTCATATTATCGGTTTTAAATTCAATTGATTTACTTTGTGTTACGTTGGTAAGATATTTCACATAACATCTTTGAACTATTTTCCCATTTTAGAGAAGGGGTCCTGAGCCATTCCCCACCTACAGACAAACACATCTACACCATTGATCCACTACGGCAAAATGTTGTACACAAAAAAGACAAGACTTTACTTATCTTTATCTTAGCATTATTGTCTAAGTATTTTAAGGTAGAAGGCTACTTACGAGTTTTTTCGCTCTTCGCAGATGTTAGCGCACATACAAGTGACACGATTTTATGTCGAAATCTGTCTACAATTATTCATTTTAGTATTAGTCAATTTTGTATTATGTAATTTTATTTCTGTGCAGGGCCTCAGCCTATCGTACAAAATGTATTGGGTAGAAAAGTGTATTATAACATCCATGTAAACATATGGTACTAAGTTAAGCTGAATTCATATTCGTCTCGTAGCTTGAAAACTTTTAAAAGATATAATAGAGCTATTTGATATATAGTGTGGCAGTTTGTGTAGCGACGAAGTAAGCCCAGGCTGTCAGTATTTGCATAATTGCATAGGGTTATTAGATCATTATAAAATGGACATATAAAAACAAAGTGAATTTCATTTTCTACCATGCTAAATTCGAACGTATCACTGCAAAAACTAAAAAAAATATTGATCTAACTGTATTGTTGTGTGTCTGCCTAACTCAACATTATGTTTATGACCAAAAACAGAAAATACTCGTCAGTATATATTTTAGTCTATAATTGCTTGCCAATAAATCTCCCAGGTTATAATACTACTTTGATTTTTCCAAAAGTACACAGCCTGGATGATTGTGAAATTCTCCAACTTGTTTTTCTAACCAGACAATGCCGAAACCATATTTGAACAGGAGATTTTTATGTGGGTTTCCCAAGCAAGTCTGCCGGTCTTGTCTAATCGTTTAAGCATGATATAACATGTTTTGCGGTTTCAGTAATTTTAACCATTATGAGATACAACGCTTGAAATAACCACAGCACAATAGCAGCCTTCCACATTCGTCTAACATCGCTACATTGTTTGTACAACTATTAATGCTAAGTACCGGGTAGATATCTGCAAAATGTTATCTGTACCCTCTCGATTTCCGAAATTACGAAATTACGTTGGCACAATGATTGCATCAAACAAATTAAATGCACTAACCAATGGCATACTACCAAGTTTATTACAGTATGTAAATATATTTGGTTCACTGTAAATCTGTTCTTAGAGGGCGGTAAAATAATATGCATACAGTGGCAGTTTAGCAGCGGTCTCATTAGACTTCAATGACTACAACTCCTTTATGAACCCACTAAAAATATAGTAAATTTTCTGAGACATACAAAAAAAAAACATGTAAAAAAAAAAGCAACACTGTGGGGTGAATTGTTGGCTGCAAGAAGCTCTTCGACCTATACAACTCGTGATGATAAATCTTCGGCATTTTTTTTAATGATATGTCCAACCCGTAGCTGTACACTATTGTCCAATAACAGAGGCTACACATACTAATACAATAAGTTGACTATATTTGACTGATACACTTAGAACAAAACAGTATATATGCCATCATTAACTTGAAGAATACAAAACTAATGAACCGAACTAGGAAAGTACAGTGTCGTGTTGTCGTGTCAATCCCGTTCGATCCCCACACTTTACTAACTGAGCGAAAATTAGCACAAGACAAACTGCCTATTCAGGACCACCACATCATTCAGAGAGTGACTACCATTACATTATTGTTTCAATGTTGTTTTAATATTTAACATCAGGTGCTTGAACGGGATCTTTATTACACCATCGCGGAAAAACCGAATAAAAGCCTGTCTATTTATAACAACCTGTTTTGGTTGGCTGCTGTTGAGCCGAGACGGCATAACTTCACGATTAACATTTAAAGCTCGTTGCCACCTAAATGCATTTTATGCATTACTCATTACGGAGTCAAGTGATTTAAACAATGATAACTATTTTAATTAATACT